CCGTCGTCGGGGCTCGCAGCCAGCCAGAAAGCGTTGGGTCTCGCAGACTGCACCCGGAGTAGCGTTTCCAAGACCCATCCGTCGGTGCGATCAGGGATGGGACCCGGAAGGCAGTGTTGTTCTCGCTGTGAGCTCGTGTTCCCGCCGAGCACAAGGCGTGCCTGGAGCAGTACGCTCGCCCGCCGCAGACCAGCACCCTTCTCGCGCCAGCGCAGTGTCTCCACCACAGCCGCGGTGGCGCGTTGCGCGGCTTCGAAGAGCGCGTGGGCGCGGCCCCCTTCTGAAGGTGGCTGGTACTGGCCCTGTCCGGGCTGCAGTCCGGCGAAGAAGCGAAACGCGAACGGGTGCAGGTGGGCGAGCAGCCGCAAACAGCCGACGAGTCGCGGAGACCCCACGTCTGCCCACGGCGCTAGTGGAAGCAAGAAGTTCGCCTCGGCCGGCAGTAGCGGCGCCAGGTGAAGAAGCACCCTGTAGCCGAAGTAGTTGAAGATAACCGCGGCGCTGGCGTTGCCCAGGGTCTCGGTGGTCAGGGCCAGCTGCTCGGGCTCGTGCACCAACAGAGTCAGATTGGCCTGCGCCAGCAAGGACGAGTCGTTGCGCACGATTGCCACGTACTCGGCCCAGTTCCAGTGGCGCGATATTGGTAGATCGCCGAGCCGAATGAGTCTGGCGCCGTAGACGAACGCGTCACGCGGCTGCGCCTTTTCCAGCGCTTGTTCCAGCCGCACAATGGAGGCAGCCGCGGCGCTCCACTGCTTGCCGCCGTCGCTGCTTTCACCGGTCACCACGTTGGAACCGCTTTGGAGGAGGCCCAGTGCCTTCTCGACGGTGCGCACGTAACTGCTCATTTCGCGCAGCGGCAGGGCAAGCTGGTGAAGACGTAGCGGCAGCGGAGTGCAGTCCAGCTGCAGCGTGACGCGGCCGTAGTGGCGTCGCAATGAGAGACGCGCCACCGGGAACACGCCCAGCCGAAAATCGATGACGCCGGCCAAGTCCCAAGGAGACAGGTCCAGAGGTTGAGCTCGAACCAGGGGCCAACCGGCGAGTCCGAGACTTCGCAGGAGGTGAGACACGTGCTCCCAATTTGCGTCCGCTGTCGGAGCCGTGCAGGCGCGGTACAGATCGAGCGCCAGCAGCACGTAGTGGCCCGGACAGGATCCTCGGAGCAGGGCTTCCGAGATAGGCGGGAACGCGTACAGCGACGCGTTGAGCCGTGTCACGAGGGACAGGACGGCCTGTTGGTGTAGCAACGGCCGTGCGTGGTAGTGCCGCCCGCACACGAAGTCGTAGAAGCTACTGCACTCTGTGCTAGCGGCGCCGCCCCATTTGTGGTGACTGCCTTCAGCGTCGGAGTGGCTGTCCTGGCAGGACGTCGAGTTGCACTCGGGGCTGGTAGGCCGCGCTCGATCGCGGGAAACGGTGACCGACAAGATCACCACGCCGATGCATGACAGGACGCCGACGACGCCAATGGTGACGGCGGTTCGGTAGCGCGTTGGCATCATGGCGAACCGGATGAAAAATGTTTCGGAACGTTCTCCGATATCACAGCCTTTTGCGCCACGAGCGCCCGCGAGCTGCTGCTGCTGCTGATGATGTTGATGATGACCTCGTATGGAAGGCGCTCAGCCATAAAAGGAGATATACTGAGAAACGAGCGGCAGGAAAGGTCTGTCAATTCAAATGTGGAAAATTAGTTTAAATATCTAAGATAGAAATAACGACAACTTTCAAACCAAGATTATGGAGATAAGAATAACTGCCAGTGGCGATGCGGGCTGGATTATCGTTCCTAACCCTCCGATTGTGGGAAAATCAAACGCTATAGATAGAAAAAAAAAGATGTGACAGTACACACGAACATTGCCAATGGTCCCTAGGTCGTTTATTCTTGAACACTGTGAGAACAACAGCATTCTGCGTGCCCTTCCCTTTCTTACTCCGCGCTGTTCTCCCACAAGATGTATATGTAGATGTAGATGCTACAGTTCTTGGGCTCATCCACCCAGGACGTTGGCCGAGAATCAGGTACCCTAGAAAAATATATATGTTTAAAAAATAGAAGAGAGAGAATATATTCTTATTGCGTATAACAAAAAAATGAAGTTACTCTTGCGAAAATAAAAAAAAAGGTCAGTTCATTTGTTGCACTATCAAAATGAACGTTCATGTTCTCCTGATCGCAGCAACATCCCATGTTTAGTAACATTCACATCTTTCAATGAAGGCATCATGATGTCATCTTTCGTGCCTTCCTATGGTTACATTACTGCTTCGTTCACAGTCGACAGCTTTTGAGAAGGAAAAAAAGAAACAGCGAGGATCGCCATTGTTCTAACTTCTATACCTTCAGATTAACTATTTAGCTTTGCAAGTAACCATAGCTTTCTTTCCTTTATATGTTGTCTTTTATCTTCTCTTTCTTAATACAATGCTCTAGATAGTTGCAATTTCATAATAAATTCTGGCGAATCCCTAGTGAGGGTGCCAGCCATTACTGAAGGTTCATCATCATAACCGTCGAGCGCGATCGCGCGCCGCATGCAGCAGCGGCTTTTCTCGGCTTTGCACGCGAGCAACGGAGCAAGGCCGAAGTGCGGTGTTCTTGTGACGGCCGAGCCAAGAGACATTTAATGTTGTGCTCGGCCACCGACTCTCAGGCCAAGCTGCTGCCATCGGACATGAACGTGAGTGCCCCGGCTGCACGCTTGCACGACTCGCGCTTTCTTGCCGGCAACATATATATTGTACCGGTGCACATCGGCGCTATAGCTCTGTGCCAGTGAGAGAAGAGACGACGACGTTCGTGTGTCGCGCTATGGGCTTCCTGTTTTCTGTGCTGTAGCTGCCTTGCTTGCCCTGGCGAGTTTCTTGCTGAAACTCCTCCGAAGAACACGCTTGTTACAATATGTATGTACCGAGAGAATGCGCTCCTCGGCGTGAATGTATAGGCTCATCGAGCCCTATTAGCTTTCATGAACAGAAACGATTTGGCATCGTGTTCACAGACACTTTTCCATGTGACTATACTTATTTGTGTCTTCATCAAGCGAATGCTTGAGGGACCCTGTGTGTTCTCTTCCAACTACTGGTTTTCTGTCGGTGACAGGCTTATGACGTTACGATTAAACGATGTAAATACGACGGAGGAAAATGAAGTTGGGAACACGATCTGTGTCACCGCGTTCTTCTGAGGAAGAAGGCATCAACGCTTCTGCTCTTCCGAACATTTCTGAATACAGACGTTCTCTTTCTTTCTTTTTTTTTGTCGCACCATGGTCTATTGTTCAGTTCTTTCTATGTCGACAATTAATTAATTAACAGAAAACGAAAGTAATGTACAACAACCTCGGAAAAGAGCAGCGCTTCGAGATAGGTAATAGTACACTTCAAGTTGTAAAAGACTATGTCTTGTTATGGGTCGGAAGGAGGAAGTTGCAGATGATGGCATCCCACCGCTGCCACCAGTTGTTGGGGATGGGGGACTACCCGGTCTCCTGTGGTAGCGTGGTGTAACCGGGTGGAGGAACTGAACGCCGACAAGAAGAGGATACGAAAACAAAACTGGTTTATGGCACTATTTACACATATTTACAGCAAAGAAAGGTTAGTGGTTTCACAAACCACGAGCGTGATGGTTGAACCGTTACATGGTTCAGAGCGACGTCCAGCACTCTGCGGCGTCGTTTTAAGCCCTGTCGGGCTCCTCCTCTCCGAGTGGAACACCAATCACACACACACAACAGGTGAGGGGGACGAGCATGCACGGTCCACGTGAACGTCCAATATTGAGTCGTGAACACTGCACTGCAAGGTGGCGCCAGCAGGGCTCTTCCTCGTCGTGTGTGTGCCGCTAGTCGAGAGTTCCCACGATCCTGACAGCGTACATCAAAGGGTCTGCCGCACAGCTCGCCTAATTGGCGGGGTGATTTGCGGTGGCCGCCGCGGTCTCTTCCAGGAAGATGCTGTCTTTGTTGTCCTCTCTCGTCGTGGCGTCGTGGCGACACGACGTCTCATCCTCCGGCTAGCAGGGACAATGCCTGGCGGGCATAGGCAGCCGGCCGGTCGTCTACTTGATTGGGGATTAAAAGGAGCGCCGCTCTCCTGTCAGCTCTGGCGCCGGTCACAACAGCTTCCCCGTCGCCAGATGAATCACCGAGGTCATCAGGCACCGCTGCTGCTTGAAGGGACGACAAAAGGGTCCGCATTTGAAAGACGGGAACTCGCTTTTGCTTGCCGCATTGTCTGGGTAATTACTCAAATCTTCGACAGCGTCTGGCAGACTGGGTGCCGAAGGGATTGAGAGCCTCCCCAGTGGACCGGCTTACGCACAATGGCGTCTGCCCAGACGAATTTCCAGGCCAAACTTAACAGTCTACTTAGGGCAGGTAATAACCGCGGAGCCGAACCACGAGATTGAAGTAACTAGAAGAATAAGAATGGGGTGGAGCACATTTGGCAAGCACTCTCAAATTATGACAGGTAGATTGCCACTATCCCTCAAGAGGAAGGTATATAACAGCTGTATCTTGCCGGTACTTAGCTACGGAGCAGAAACCTGGAGACTTACAAAGATGGTTAAGCTTAAATTCAGGACGACGCAGCGAGCAATGGAAGGAAAAATGGTAGGTGTAACCTTAAGAAACAAGAAGAGAGCAGAGTGGATTAGGGAACAAACGGGGGTTAAGGATATCATAGTTGAAATCAAGAAGAGGAAATGGACATAAGCCGGGCATGTAGCGCGTAGACAGGATAGCCGCTGGTCATTAAGGGTAACTAACTGAATTCCCAGAGAAGGCAAGCGGGTTAGGGGGAGACAGAAGGTTAGGTGGGCAGATGAGATTAAGAAGTTTGCGGGTATAAATTGGCAGCTGCAAGCACACGACCGGGTTAACTGGCGGAACATGGGAGAGGCCTTTGTCCTGCAGTGAACGTAGTCAGGCTGATGATGATGATGATGATGGTGATGATGATGATGTCGACAATGCGAACTTCCGCAGGAGGATTCCCAGAGCGCCGGCTGCTCATGGTACGGTGCTGGTGGCGGCGTGCTGCCGCGATCCGCTTTGCGCCAGCGACCGCTGGGCAACTTCCTTCAGCGTCGGGCACCCACGGCCAGGGACGCGTTTCCGGAGACCGAGATCATGTTTCCGCTGCTGCCTGACAGTCGGATGGACACCTGGAGTGGCCGTTACACTCTGGACAGCCCTCCGGACACCCTGCAGCGCCGTTCGGCCAACAGCCGGGCGCAGGGTCCCAGCAGCTCGGCAGCGCGCGGCAGGATCCTCCGTGATGGCGGCAGTGCCCGCCAGGCCAGTCAGCGGCTTTACGCGACGCGCGACGGTAGACCCGCCAGAAGCGTGTCCAGCGGGTTCTTCAAGCGGATCTTTCGGGGAGCGCCGAGGAAGTACTCGGTGTGTGTGCACTGCATGCCGACAGTACACTGTACTGCTCGACAAAAAGTGTCACAGTTCAGCTTATAGCAACGCCGACTAAATTTCAAGGCCGAAAGGCTGCCGCAGTGACGTCAGAGGGTGGGGGCCCAGCTACGCCGCGAACGCGGCGGAAAGCCTGTGTTTCGTTCACGTTTTAAGAGAACAAACGCTCCCGCTCTCGCAGCTGCTGCGGCTTGATTGGGCCGAATAAAAGATGTGAAAAAAAAAAGTCTTACTGAGCATGCTCAGTTGGGCAACTGGGCCCCAACCTCTGACGTCACTGCGGCAGCCTTTCGGCCTTGAAATTTAGTCGGCGTTGCTTATAGGCGTGTGTAGGGCTCCCTTTCAGAGGAGGAGGGGAGGGGGGGGGAAGCGGAGGTTCTTCGCAGCGCCCCCGGTTCATCCATGTCTGCGGCTGACATTGCGCCCCATCCCCGTGATTATGTAACGGCTGACTTCGCGCCCCCACCCCTTAGGTGACTAGGGAGGGCGAAACCCCTACACCCCCCCCCCCCACCGTTTGTGCACATGTCTGTGGAGGAATGAATACAATAGCTACAGATTGCAATGCTATACGAATATGAGTAGCTAACTCCCTGGGGATCCGATCTCTCGTAACTGCAAAACGCTAACACGGCCGCTCTGGTTTTCGCGCTGCCTACATGTTACCTAAATACGAAGTAACACGAAGTGGTGAGAGCATAGTTTTACAGCGGTGAGATCCGCCTACTGATGTGTGTTGAGAAGATACGAAGCGTCGAGCGATGTTATCGATTTAGACTTTGTATACGCAGCATGACGGTGACGCCGACATCAAGAACGCGCCTCACGGGTCCGTATGATTGATGCCTCAATTAAGGAACTCTCAGGTCCTATGGTATACATGATTAACCCGATCGAATGTAATATATCGTTCCCATTATCGGCCTGCACATGCCTTCTATTGCGCGGCTTTCGAAATTTGCCGTGATTATATGAAAAACGCAATACAGTGCCACGTAGGTTGCAGCCTGGTTAATTCTGAGTATGGTGTTAATCGCTACCGCTCAACAAATATTGATGGATCATTGTCAGTACTTGATTACGAAAGGTGAATACACATAATTGTCCGATACATTTTCATTGGGGCGCTCGATTGAAACATGCGGCATTCTTACTCGCTAATCCGAGGCCACGGCTGCGTATAGACTTCGCTTTGGCTGGGCCTCGCGTCAAGACTGTAGAATTTCACTCTTAAGACTGAAAAAAAAAAGCTTCTCATTTCGGCGGGTCATACGTGACGAGCAAATACTCACAATTTTGCACTATACAGCTGCAGCCACCAAAGGGAGCCCTCTGACGCTGGTTGGGCGAGTGACACTTTGGTCTTAAAGCACATTTGCATACAGGTTCATAATTCTCCTAATAACTACGCGCACGTACTCTATTTGTAAACGTACATTATATTCAGATCAAGGAAAGATGTATACTTCTCGCCCGAAGGGTCCATATAGCTTTCCTGTCTAGCGCATGCAGACGGTCGCATGGTCTTTCGGTTGGTCGGTCGGTCGGTCTGTCGGGCAGAAGCTGGCCGAAGTTAGTGATACGCTCTAGTTGTAACACCAATGACCGGTTGATAAGGACATGTAGTTGTGTCGATGTTGACGCTATCTGCTGTTGTCGCGGCTGAGCAGACGTGTCGCATGCATTCTGGCTGCGAAATGCAGGTGCCGCCCGAGCCGAAAGACACCTCCCCGGAGCTTAGCTTCAGCGAAGTGATGATGCGCTACCACCAGCAGTCGCCCGACTCTGGCAACTCTTTCGGCTCGGCCACTAAGAAGTCGACGTCGGAGCGCAAGACGATGCCCGAAGTGGTTCCCGCAGCACCCCCACCGGCGCACAGGTGCGCGTGCGTGTATAAGTTGTGTAATGACCCCTGTTGAATCCAGCGTTTCTCAGGGGTCCGTTCTGGGTCCTTTTGTGTTATTAATTTATGTAAATGACTTACTCAATAATATTTCCTCATAATTTTGTTTATTTGCGGACGACTGTGTCATATGTAGCAGAATAACTATTACCTGTGCCGTCACTAATCTATACAGTCCGATCTAAACGACGTCCACAACTGGTGCGTCACTTGGCGCATGGAGCTCAATACTAAGAAATGCAAATACACGAGAGTTTCACGCTCTAACGCAGCGTGCCCAACATTCGTGATTAATACCGCCATTCTCGAATCTGTAGCATCATACCGTGTTACCTTGGCGTCCACATAAACTGATGATTTGCCGTGGTAACGCCACGTGGAACACATAATGTTCTAAAGTGACCGTACTCTGGGATACATAAAAAAAAGAAATCATTTCCTCGCTCCATCTTCACTAAAATTACTGCTCTAAGCCACGTATATTCGTCCTCAGCCAGAGTGTGCATCATCGGTTGGAGATCCGCATCCATTCATATTATAGACGCAATCGAAGCAGTGCAAAATCACTTTGTCTGTTTTATGCCAACTAATCACCGTACAGGAAGCGTAACAGAAATAAAAGCTCTTCTTAACATCCGACTATACTTGCCATTCGTCGCCAGCAAGCTCGGCTTTCACTTTTTCGTAAAATATATCATCACAATGCCACTCCTCGTTCACCCACCACCATTTCCGCTCATAGGTATCATTCTCATAGTCAAAAATCTCGTTTTCTAACACTGTCACGTGCGCACGTCATTTCTTCCGAAAACCTCAGTCGACAGGAACAATCGGCCATCGTCTCTAGTAAACATACGCGATCCGATTCTTTTCAACCATGCTCTTGTGAACATGACGTAGAACTGCAAAATTCTGCCATCTGTTCTCTTGTTCTTCATTCTTTTTTATTTCCTGTTTGGTGTTCGGAGCTCGTACCTTTTTTTTTGATTATTCGATTTATATCTGGCTTACTCAATCGAGTGGTAAGTTTTGTACAACCAGTGTTTAAATCAGTCTTATTCTTTACTTTTTGTTTTTATTGTACATTGTTACTGTTCTCACCTGATTGCGTGTTCTTGTATTTTTTTTTAAAGACGATAGTCTTTCTTGGGGACCTTTGACGCAAAAATTTTGGTCTGTCTGTCTGTCTGTCTATCTGTCTGTACATTTGTCTGTTTGTCCACTCTTAACGGCACCGGGTACTTGAAACGGCCGACCCCATCCGCAGCGCCCACCAATGTTGCTCAAGATTTAGCGTTCATACTTGTGCAATTGTCAATTAATAAGCAATTATCGCGCAAGTCTGGGGCACTATAACAACACGTATATATTTTGCATGTGCATCTTTTACTAGAAAATGCATACATAAGTAATTTTAAGGACCGTAGAGCTTATCCCGCTGCGCTGACCATCCAACACTTGCACGAAAAGGTGAGTGTTTCCAACGCTTTGCTAAGACGCGATGGTGGTGGCACCTACCCGTCGCCTTACGTTCCTCACCTTATCACCTCTGAGAAGGGCACGCACACCCGTCTCAGAGCCACGCGCTTCGTTTTGCAAGACTGCCAGGTGGTGCTCATGTCTCACGTGTGACGGGATTTGATGCGCTTGTTCGCCTCCGCTGCACGCTCGAGGCACTCTAACGCAGCGCCTCCAAAATACCATTCACCCATTTTCTTGCGCAGAACATCAAATTAATTGTTCACTCTCTTCACACGCAAGACTATCGTCTTTCGACGACATTTGCTGATTACATGCACAAACGGGGCCAATTTTTTTTTTCATCTTTTTTCGTACTTGCCCTTCCCCTCTATGATGTACTGTATGTACCTTGAGGCTATTTCAAATAAATAAATAGACATGCACTCACTCACTCACTAAATCGTCAAAATAATGGAGATACCGATAAAGTAACAAGATAATGTATATAGTAATTGTGGAATTGAGCTAATGTTACGTTGCATAAAAAAGCTAAAGATGACTATGTTACATCGTAACGCACGACATTATAGAGTGATTGCTCCTTTCGCACTGCGGTGGAGACGATAAAGGCGGTACAAACAGTCTCGTGAATTGAAGACATAACGAGTGCAAGTTTAACAATTACGCAAATGCAACCAGTTCTTAGTGCAGTATAATAACACAATGCGAAATTTTCTGTATTATAAAGGTGTGCATTCGCGGTAATACACATCTAAGGTGTTTATCTTATCACCCAAACCGAAGGAAGATCTTAATTTCTACTACTGGATATACGCTAACCATTTATTAGCGTAGACGGTTGTGGCATATATGTCAATGCATGAATTTCCGGTCACGAGATTCCTTTATTTACACATTGAAAATTTCTTGACATGAAATTTCAGGCAACAGAGCCGCAGAGAAACCGAAAGAAAGCATGTTAGAAAATTTCGTCGTTACGTCACTGGGAGCATCAATATCCAGCGGCCGTACGTGGGATATGTGAGCAAGGCCGGACTAACCAGTAAAAACGAAGTAGACGGAAAGTGCGCGAACTATCAACTGGCTTATTCGATCTTAAAACAGCCTATATGAACTTATTCAACCTTTACAGGGAAATAGGGGGAGGGAATAAAGAGATAATGCAAACAAATTTATGCACAGTGGCCACATGAAGATTTATGTGGCCAGTGAGATTTATGCCTCGATGTTTATGCCCAATCGACACGTCGTACCTCATCACTTATAGTCTAAAACGACGTTTTTAAGGCCTGTGGCTGACCACTATTTTGTTTTCTCCGTGGGTTATACGCACGTGCTTTAAATTTTCTTTTTCTTTTTCGCAGGAAGAAGCGATTCACCGCGCATGAAAGAAAGGTTAGTTGTTTTTTTTTTCTTTAATGCGTCAGCAATACAAGCTATGGTGCTTTAGTGGATGTGATGTGTGCGCTTATTCCTTATTTCGGTTAGATTTCGATTGGGTATTGCTAGGCTAATGACACTACCGCCATTGACGTCAGACTCTGGAGTTTTGAAGGCGCGTAGCGACACCTGTCGGAGCATTTTTGGGTAGTGCAGACTTTGACTCCCTTGCAAAGTTTGCTGGGCAATCAGATGCAACTAGCGAATGTGAAACAATGATAGAGCTATGTTTCAGGTGGAATTGCGCATTGAACTCGATGTCATTCGATGCTTGCTTGCATTTGCGAGTTGCAGCTCGCCAAAATAAATGAAACATCTTTAGCATTAAAACCTCAGTTCGCTTTGATGAGCTTTGTATTTTTTTTGAAGCGAGAGTGAATTGACAGAAGCTTTCCACGTCGTTAATTGGCAGGAAACCACGTTTAAACACCCATGAAAGAGGGGGGCCTACGCATATTTGCTCGCGGACGGCTCTTTCTGCACTACCCAGTTATGGCCAGGGCGGCGATGAGAGCGCTGGTGGCGGCGTTTTTTGCAGCGCCACCTGGGCAGAGTCTGACGTCTATACCTGTCGCAGTGGTCTAGTGCATGGTGTTAGAAGTCATTTAACCATATGGTGTAGTAGCGCAATTTTCACGGGGACGAAGAGGACAAGAACACACGACACTCGCTACACTCGCAACTAATTTTATTTCAGAAGCAGCACATCATATATAACCCATAACCCTAGCGACACAGAAAAGAACTACGAACATTGAATCAATGCCAACAGAAGCTTTTGCGCAGACTCAAGCGATAGTACACGGCAGTTACGCTTACACTTTAAAATGACATAACTAAAAACAGCCCTGGATAACATCAAATAAAAAAAAAAGTTTGCGGGAATTCACACGTGTTTGAAACAAAATTTTGAAACGACAAAAAGGAGAGTATGACACGTGCAAACACTGATCTCAATTAAGTCCTTCGAGGTAGCTGGCTTCTCGGTCACTTAACGAAACCGATGACTGACTAATGCATCCTTCTTTCTTTTTTAATGTGGAAGGCTTCGACAATTTCTCTGGTTAGTTGTTAGTTGGTTTCCATGACGGAAGACTGCGTCGTGTCACTGAACAGTGTGAGCAGCCACAACTGGAGACAGTGTCTCATTTTAAAGTGTAAGCGTAACTGCCGTGTACTATCGCTTGAGTCTGCGCAAAAGCTTCTGTGGCATTGATTCAATGTTCGTAGTTCTTTCTGTGTTCGCTAGGGTTATGGGTTAGATATGATGTGCTGCTTCTGAAATAAAATTAGTTGCGAGTGTAGCGAGTGTCGTGTGTTCTTGTCCTCTTCGTCCCCGTGAAAATTGCGCTACTACACCATATGGTTAAATGATGTCTCACCAACTAGCCCAGCTCTCAACCCTACTGGTGTTAGAAGTATTTGTGGTCTAGTGGCTATGGTGCATTACTGCGGACTGACCCGAAGGTCACGGGATCGAATCCTCTCCTCGGCGGCCGCATTTCAAGGCGAGTAGAATACAAAGAACACCCGCGCATTTACATATTCATAGGCACGTTAAATAGCTCCAGGTGATCGATATTCCCGGAACCCTGCACTACGACGTCTACCATAATCGCATCGTTGTTTTGGGTCGCGAAATTCCAACACTTGCTAATATTATATCTGCACCACAATGGCTCCATATAAATGGTATTAGTTTGCTGCAAGGTGCGCACGTATTGCCGATGACGTGGTGCCAATATTCTAGTGTTCAGTCATTCAGCCGAACTGGGTTTTGTATTATCATGTTGTTGAAGTTATAGTTAACGTGGGCAGCCGGAGTGGTCGCCACACGGTGGCTCTGAACTCAAAACAGCAAATACGAAGGCACAGACACGTTACGTAGTGCGTGTGGAGAGGAGGAGCAGACGGATGAACATTTGATAACGTTCTGTAAAGGGCTCCACCCAAGATAATGGCGCGCAATTTTTCAAAGCATTGGGGTTTAGGGACAGTGAAGGCAAAATAGACTGTAAACGGGTAGAAATAACCAGGAGGAGGCTAAGTGATTGGTGGCTACAACCAAGGCGCGAGTGACATTCAATCCTTACACACATAGTGATAGTACTTAACTTTATGGCTAGGTGGCGTGAGCCACCGCCCGATCTTAAGGGCACAGCCGGATACATCCATTCATCCAAACACAAATGCTAACACTACTGCAGTTACATGCGTATGATACATTCCTACTCAAAGCCTCTCTCTCCCTTTTTTAGGCAAGATGTATATATATATATATATATATATATATATATATATATATATATATATATATATATATATATATATTCGGTGGAGATTTAGGTACACGTTAATTGAAGAACCCCAAGAGGCCCAAGTCTCCGGAGTCTTACACTATGGCGTCCCTCACAATCATATCACCGTTTGGGACGTTAAACCCAAACAGTTATTATAATTATTATATACATTGGCCCCTTTTAATCGCACCTCTGGCACACGCGCACGCGCGTGTGCACACATCTGTGTTTTTCTCCACCTCCTATAATCACACTCCTGTTTATGTTGTTTATATACACTACCATGGTCTAGTAGATAACAACTGAAACTTTAAAAAAAAAAAAACAAGACTGCCCACTCATACGCTGTCTCGCACATCATCGGCATTAGCTGAGGAAATACTTCGTTCCTTTTCAAGCTATACGTATACAGGACATTAATAATAATAATAATAATAATAATAATAATAATAAAACGAGATAGGGTGACGTCCACGAAGATAAATGTACTTAGTGGATTTGACTAGATAGGACAGTATGTTAGTATGTGCACAGCTACTCGAAATAAGGGCATGTTTGGAATAGCTGTGTTAGATGAACGACATCGAGAAACCACGCGGTAAAGCTCTGATTGCACAGCAAGAGTCTAGCGGGATCATGTGAGTTGTCTTATAATACGGGCTTTACAACAACAACAACAACATAATAATAATAATAATAATAATAATAATAATAATAATAATAATAATAATAATAATCGAGAAAAAGCTGCCTGAAACAAAAGTGGCGCGAAAACGGAGCGGCAAATATAGGCGGGAAAAACTGGCGGGAAAAATATACACACGGGAACGGGAACTTTGCGGCAGAGTATCGTTTAGCTGGCATCAGTTATTTGCCGGCTCAGATTTTTCAATTAAGCTACCGCTGAAGCGACCATCAGAAAAAAAAAAAAAAACGAGCAGAGCTACATAAATGCGCGCATCAGTGGATGCGCTCTGTACCGCGCATATAGTGCACATAAAATACCCAACGTAACGCACGAACACGTCGAGCACAAACACACAGAACACACTGTCATGCACGAAAAACTCCGAACGTAACATGCAGGGCGCCTACAGCTAACGTATATGCGCATATCGAGTGAAAATACGCAGAACACACCAAAGTGCACAACACGAACAACCGATGCAATGCACAAACTCAACGTTCAGTACGCGTATGGGCGTACAGCCCTTTAGGCCTAACATAGTCGCCGTGCCTCTTCAATCACGGCTCATATTTGATACTACTACTGTAAAAACACGTTCCAGCCCCATAACACAAGAAACACAAGAGTTATGAGACCACAACATTTTCTGGTGGCATGTTTAGTGCAAAGGAGACGGCCGCAGAGTTCGTTGGAGCGTATGAGTGGAATATAAAGCGCGAGGCAACACTCACCCGTCAAGAGATGTCGGCGTCATGACACAAGTCGATGGACCGTTGGCTTATAAGCTTCGATCCCAGCGACACAGGTTTAATCACCTTGGTTTTGTTGTGCAGCACAACGAGGCTGTCCACTCGGTGTCGTAAAAATAGCGGTGTCCTGCTGAAGTAATCCACACGAATTTTGCAATCACATCATGGGCCGAGAAAAGGCGGGAAACGACGTTTTCCATGCCCCGATTATCCACCTCGTTGCGGTCGCAAGTGGCAAGCAGGCCACGTCATTATGACAGTATACGTCATTCGTGTATTACGTTTGAGACGCAGCAATCTTCACTTGACTGCTAAAGTACACGTTATCGGACTGTTAAAGAAAGTACCGATCAAACTTACGCACGACCACTCCGCGCACTCGACTCCCGCCGACTGATCTCCTTTTTCCCCAGACGCGGCAGGCGTAACTGGTGGAGTCCCTAGACAAACCGCCTTGTGTGATCTTCCGTTGCTAGAAGAAGGAATTAATCTAGGGAACTTTAGCAGGGGATAACCCGATGCTTCGCGCGGTTGCTGCTTCGTTTCCCTGCTCTGATTTTGAATTTTCTCCTCGATTAGGCAGAGAAATAGTAATTTTTCATGTTAACTCCGGATATGTTGGTGTCGTTCAACGCCTGTCTTGGTAGTCTAGCAGTCTGATGCGCGCACACAAATAATACACAAGAGCGACGGTTGAACGCAAAACCTTACTTACGAATGAGCTTGCAAGAGTTTGTTACGAGCACAGGAGCCCATAGAGTTTCTTAATATACACCATAGAGAACTCCGGCGCTAGTGTCTATCAAAGCTGCAACGCACGAAGCTTCAGCGAGCATGGGAATGATGGGTAGTACACACATTTGTCTAATCTACGTACTTTTGGCTTTTGGCTCCGCGTGTGTTCGTGTGGCTCTGAGCTGTTTTTTCGCGAAACAAAAATCAGCAAATGTTCAGTGGTTGCACTTCACCACCTTATTCTTTTAGACTTGCCTTTCCAAATCGGTTCACGAAGTTCAAAAGGGTTGAATCTTTCTCTCTCAAAAAAAAAAAAAACGAAACACATTAATAAACAAAGCCGCAAGTGCAATTCGTCACCCGTAAGTACGAAGACTATAGGCAAATGCGTGCACTGCCCATCATTCTCATGGTCGCTGAACGATCGCAGGGACAGTCCCCTCTAGTCAATTTTAGAGAACTCTAATCACGAGTCATGGCCTC